TGTTCCTTTTGAATGTGTGCTATCATGGCTCTCCACAACTTCCTATCCTTTGTAGCCCTTAGTAAAGTTTGTATTTTTGGTATATCTCTTAATCTGCCTACCATTTACACAAGTTCGTTAGGCAGCGGTTACGCGCTTCTTTCATCTTTCCCCCTTGCCATCAATATGTCCTGTAAGTGTCAAATTTTCAAAGCCTTCTTTCCTCAAGATATTTTAACAGTCTCTTTCTGATGCTAAGTATAAGTGTTTTTTTTGGGGGGTTTCCATTTTCTCTAAAACTTCGTTGTCGTTCTCCCGTTCGGACTATGGTATCCTCAGCATCCTCCTGTAGAATCTCATTTCTGCCATCGACGAGTAGATATGCGGTTGTCAAAACATGTGCTTCAATAAGAAGACAGCGTGTAGATATCAAATAACCAGATCAGTTTTACGTTTTCTAGTTTTTTCAATTTCTCTCAAGATCCCAAATCTCTTGGAGGATTCTAAAGCAAATGGTTCAAAGAAATCTTTATCGTCTCCTTCTGCCTGCCGTATCCTTTTCGGTGTTGTCTCTCCACAATTTCTTTTTCTTAGTAAATTTTGTCTTTTTGCAATTTTTCATAATCCCGTTTCTGCTGACGATTTAAATAATCTCGTTTGGTTGGTTTAGGCGCCGTTTTACCCTCTTTCCTTCAGTATGCCTTGGGAGTTTCAAATTCTCCAAGTCCTCTTTCCTCATTATGTGCCCTAAAAATGCCAAGTTGTTTTTATTCTAAGTATTAGCGTCCTTTCCGTTTTCATTTTCTCTTAAAATTTCGCCATTGTTCACAGGCTCTGTCCAAAGTATTCTCAGCATCCTTCTGTAGAACCACATGTCTTTTTTGCTTAAAGTTTTTTCTTTATCTGTGAGCAGATTTTTCAACATTTACTGCCATAGAGAAGAACCGTTATTGCATCAAGGCTAAGCTCTCGTTTTGTTATATACCGTACTTATGAACACTAATGGGTATGTCCCAATCGTCATAAATACGTTGGACACTATTGTAAGTGGGGGTAATATGCTGTCTAAGTAGGCCATCACTAGCAGTGGTTTACCTACTTCACGGCGCTGGAGAGTATTGTATTTTGTTGATGTTATAAAGATTATCATTTCATTTCCAAATTCTTTTTTGGCTATTCCTCATTCAGTAACTAGGTTACAAAACTTCTTTGTTTCTAACTAAATTTTCTTGTTTCTAAATACCTTGTTTAACTTTTGGAAGGCATATAGGGTTTGATCTGAATACATATATAATCATATCTATCATATGGAAGGCAAGCGAAACCACTTATGTATTTACATTTTCCTTTTCCCAGTTCCTCCTATTTTTCTGTATCCCTCCACTTCTTAGTTATTTTACTCTTGTTTCTCATTTTAATTCATCACATTTTTTTTAATTCCTCCCCGTTTTTCTTTTCTTTTATCTACGGGATTTGCTTCTTACCACTAACAGAGACATCTATGTGTTTTTCTTTCTTTGAATTTCTTTAGATGTATTTTCTTTCTTCATTCTTTTAATTTTTCTTCTAAGGCAGTTTCTTTTTCTTTCTTTCTTTCTTTCTTTCTTTTTCTCTTTCTTCCTTTCAATTCTTTCTTTCTGTTATAAAGTTCGTATAACGCTAGCAGTTCTGCTTAATAATACTGTAAAGTAACACTGAAGCAAAAGGTTGAGAGAAGAACAGGTTTAATCCCATGAGAGACATGGATTAATAATACAGTAATAGAAAATGCCGTAGTTCGGTGCGGCAATGCGTACAACTCAACGCTACGCCTAGCGACAACTGTTCCTATGAGCAGACCTCCTACTCATAGCAGATAGATGAGTCTACATTCCACAATTAGTTTAGAGACGGTCAGTCGGATTTCTGCGCAACACTTTTTCCTTCTTTAATATTCTTTCTTTCTATGGATTTTCTTTCTTTCTTCTTGTATTCTTTCTTCTTAGCCAGTTTCTTTTCTTTTTTAATATTCTTTCTTTATATGGAATATCTTTCCTTATTCCTTTCTTTTCTTCCGTCAGTTTCTTTCTTTTTTCTTTCTATTCTTCTTTTACTCTCTTTCTTTCTTTCACATTATTGCTTAAGATGAAGTTTCTTCATTCTTTTATTTTTTTTCCTTCTCAGTCAGTTTGGTTTCTTTTCTTTCTTTGTTCCTTTCTTAGTTTAGATGAAGTATTTTTTTTTCTTATCTTCATTCTTCTTCTAAGGTACTTTCTTTCACATCCTTTCTTTCACATCCTTTCTTTAGATGAATTTTCTTTCATCATACTTTTATTATATCTTCTCGGCCATTTTCTTTTTTCTTTCTTTCTTTCTTTTTTCTTTCTTTCTTCTTTCTTTCTTTCTTTCTTTTTTCATTTCTTTCTTTCAGTTGAATCCTTTTTTCTTCTTCTTCCTCCTCTTCCTCTTCTTCTTTGTCTATCTCTGGTGATACAAAGAATTTATTTCGCCATATTTCTTCGCTTTCCGTTTCTTGAAAACAGTTTTTCACGTTTTATTCTACTTTATATTTTTTTCTACTTGATTTCTTTGTCATTTTCTTATATATTTTTTTCATTTAGGTTAGCCTGACTATAAGTACGTAGGTCGCTGTGACTATTCTGCTACACCCATGTTAGTCTCCTCTCAATCAAACCTGAAAGTATCAAATGGTGAAAACGTTCTTGTCTGTCTACAACTTGTACCTATTTTGCTTCAGGCTTTGTATCAGGAAGCAAGGAGTCGAATTAGCTAGTGTTTTTTTTTATCATTGCTTTTTAAACAGAATTCATAAAACATTTGTCAACGGAGATATTACGTTTTTTCAAAGTCCACTTTCTTTTATTTTCATATACGTATACCTGGCCACTCGGATTCGAAGATACCCGTCTACTGGTGCGGCTACACAATCCCGATTGCAGACGCTTGTCGAACACCCACAGGGCCAACCTGTGGTTTATACTGCAACTATGCTGAGCAGACCTTAGCTAAAGTTTCTGGGAAAAAGTGCGTTATCGAGCGTGAGCAACAAGCACTCGCTTGAAATGGTAATCTTTATAACATCAACAAAGTACAGCTAGCCAAGGTTTCCGTCTACCCAATTTCACTAACAAGGCGTGCGTCAACCCATTGTACGGGGTCATTTTCAGGCACTTCCCAAAGGTGTCGCACGCATAACATCAGGAAGACTCCTGATGAGATTCGAACCGGGGTCTTAGTGTTAGAATGCAAACGTTCTAACCACACGGTCACGTGCCCATTTTCACGTAGGCATTTCAATATTCCGGTATCAAAGTTGTTTACTTGGTCAAGTCCTTTTTTCGAAATGCCGCCTATATATTACTTTTCTGATCTCTTTATCTTTACAACCTCTTTTCATTGTTTCTTTCTTGGACAAATTTCTCTTGTTCATATAATAAACCCTTTGGTACGTACAATAAATATATGAAAACCACCTATTAACTCCGGAATTCACCTAAAAACCATTTTCTATTACGGAACTATAAAACTCAGTCTCACGATAACAAACGCTTTTATATGCAGTAATCAATTGCTTTAAAATTTTAATTCCAATGTAATATTAAAAGTTAAATTACAGATTTTCTCAGACAAGTTTTCACCGTTTTTTATGCGCGGCATTTAAAGTCAGTACCTGTTTGTCTAGTCCTAAGATACGTCGTATATCACTTAATTAAGGAAAGCGAGAAGAAAGGACTAAATGTCAGTTGTAAGAAGCAGGTATGTGTGTTTGTTAGCAAAAGAGACCAGCCGACAAGCAAAAAACTGAAGATACCAGAATCAAACAAATACAGCAATTTAAATACCTGGGAAGTCTTTTAATAGAATACGGTAAGTTCGAATCTGAAATAAGAAGGTGCATTGGTACAGTGAAAGATGCCTTCCAAAAGCTAAGCAAAGTATTAAGAAACAGTGAAATTTCGTTACAAACAAATAAAAGAGTACTGAACTGTTATGTAGTATCAGTCCTCCTAGATGGTAGTGAATACTGGACAATCAGTTCGCAGATGAAGAAGAGACTTGAAGCAACAGAAATGTAGTTCTACAGAAGGATGCTGAGATTACCATCGACCGAAATTATGTGCAACGGCGTAGTTTTAGAGAAAATGTAAAAAAAAAAACACAAATACTAAACATCCGGAAGCGGCAGCTGAAATTCCTATGATACATTGTGAGGACAGAGTACTTGGGAAATTTGATACTCACAGGTCAGATTGAATGCAAGTGGAACAGAGGAAAACAATGCATAACGTACCTAGAGAGCTTGAGTAAGTGGATGGTGGAACGAGGTTTAGGAGAGATAACGAATAGACATAATTTATTAATAGCTACAAAGGACAGGAAATTGTGGAGAACCATGATCGCCTACATCTTGAATACCTCGAACTCGTCGAAGGAGATTAAGTTAAATCGCTAAATTATATCACAGCAATTACTATGTCTTCCGTTTATTACTTCCACAAGAAGTGAATCGAATCTGAATATCTGGCCAAACTCAGAAAACATTATGTCACCCTTACCGTCAACGTAAAAACAAAACAAACTCGAAACAACCAACTGCTACTATTGCTCGGTTTTTAACAGTGGCGGGAAGTTATCTTTCCTGGACGATTTTTTTTTATTATTCACCTCTCTTCCCCCATTCTGACCTTCAACCTGCCATCCGCTGCAGATTCATAGCAGTAAGAAGCGTTTCTGTTGGTTGATTGGTCCGTTTGTTGCCTGGTAGCAAATGGTAGTCATGAGATCGACTGTTACTATAAGTAAATGACCTTTCAACTAATCAGAGGTCAGAACTTAGTAATGAGATGATGAGGACGAAACGACTTGTTGCATCGATAGCAAAAAAAAATGAGATCAATATATTTCGGGTTGAAAAATAGAAATAGATTATCAATAATAATTACTAGCTGATCTGGTAAAGGCAGAGATTTCGACTTAACTTTCACCTTCTGATGGAAGGTCCAGTTCAATGCATTTAATGATTAATATAACAAGGGAGAAGAAGAATAGTGATATATGCATACAGGTATATAAAAAAGATTTGGCCTTACAGAAAGATATGAAGAGGTGGAGATAGATAGATAGATAGATAGATAGATATGAACAGACTTAGATAGATAGATAGATAGATAGATAGATAGATAGATAGATAGATAGATAGATAGATAAGCAGAAAAACAGACAGATCAGAGCAAATGTAATTTTTAAGTTATAAAGGTTTTAAAAGAGTAAGGTTGACAGATTTGAACACACTGAAGTAGATTTCAGCAGAGTGAGATAGATAGATAGATAGATAGATAGATAGATAGATAGATAGATAGATGCGTATATACATACATACATACATACATGCATAGATACATACATACATAAATAGATACATGTAAACAGACTTAGATAGATAGATAGATAGATAGATAGATAGATAGATAGATAGATAGATAGATACATAAATACAGATAAAAATAGATACATACATGCAGGAATCCATCCATCCATACATACATGTAAACACACTTGGATAGATAGATAGTTAGATAGATAGATAGATAGATAGATAGATAGATAGATAGATAGATAGATAGGAACAATCTGATTCATACAAATTTTAAAACACATGGGTTGACAGATTTGAACACGCTGTGGTAGATTTGAGCCGAGATAGATAGATAGATAGATAGATAGATAGATAGATAGATAGATATGAACAGACTTAGATAGATAGATAGATAGATAGATAGATAGATAGATAGATAGATAGATAGATATGAAAGTAAACATGACGCAGATCTGAATTATTAAACCAAACAATCCGTTATATTAACTGATTTAATTTCGCTACAAAGAAAATTGATTTGTAAAATTAATCTAATCATCCCCAAAATAGAAAGGTGAAGGAAATAAAAATATTTTGAAACATAATCCTGATTTCAATGCTTCTGATTCTATCAAAGCTTTGGTTTCTGTCTCGTAATAATGGAAGCCTATGTAAATTCTACCATAAATTGAAAGAATCCGAGATGGCTGTAAAGTAATAAAAAAATCATGAGGTGTTAAATATAATGGGTTTTCCAATAACTTGGACCGATTTTAAATGTGAATTCAGGTTAAACGTCTAATGATTTTTTCTTCTTTCAGATATGGCGGACATTTGGGCGATATTATTTTTCACACATAATCGCCATTATTTAAATAACAGGACCCAATACAGAAATAAATACGTTTCGACCAACAACACTGATTTATTTACTGCTGACTTTGATCCGTCTTAATGAAACATCCTTTATATTTTGTTCCTTCTGAACTCAGTATAAACTACGTTGACGCCGCAAAACTTCAATCGGACATTCTTCTTTCTTCCTTATGTTCTCTTTTCCCCAGGTCATAGGCGATCATGGCTCTCCACAACTTCCTGTACGTTGTAGTTCTTAATAAACTTTCTGATATTCGTCCTAAGCCCTGTTTCGCCATCCATTTACTCAAGCTCATTAAGTTATACGCTGTCTTTCTCTGTCCTCAGTCTGTCCCGTGAGTGTCAGATTTTCCAAGCCCTCCTTCCTCATTATGCACCCCAGAAATCTCAACTGTTACTTACTGATATTAAGTATTAGTTTCCTTTTTATTTGAAACTTCTCCAAAACTTCTTCGTTGCCCACATATTCGGTCCACGGTATCCTGAGCATCATCTGCAGAATAACAGAGCTTGAAGTCTCTGATGAGGAGATCATCCAACACCCACTGCCATACAGGAGGACAGACATCACGTAAGAGTTTAGTACACTTCTCTTTTTTACTAGCGAAATTTTCCTATTTCTTAGTATTCTGCCTAGCTTTTAGAAAGCTTAGCTTTTTGGAATACCTTCGGATTTCAGTGTCACAAGTTAAAACAATTCCCCGGATATTTACACTTGTCTGATTTTGGTACCTCTAATTTGCAATTCTTTATTTTTGCGATCATCCTTTTGTAACAAACCATGCATTCGGTCTTATATTGAAACAAAAAGAAATATATGTATGCATGAACGAAATTATGTCATGGAACCTGGAAATAATCCACATACAAACTTAAGAAAATCTATAGAATATATATAAACCCTTGGATGATTTCTAAATTTTGGGGAGATTGATGTTTTTTTTTTGAAATGTGAAGGAATTTTCGCAGGAACGCATTCACTTGTGATGTGCTAAACAATCTAGGTAGGGAGGTATTTGACGATATCGATTGTAATATGAATGTTCACATATTAATGTGATTTGAGAAAAAACTACCAAAGTTTTAGAAATGAATTTACTAAAAGCAAGTTCAATACTCTACTAGAGATCACTGAAGACTATATTCATCTCTCCTGGTATTCTATAGTGTGAGACACTTTAACATAAGTCTGTAAATACCTATCTATCTATCTATCTATCTATCTATCTATCTATCTATCTATCTATCTATCGCAGTCTGTTCATATCTATCTTTGTATGCAATTCTGTTCAAATCTATCTATCGATCTATCTGTCTCAGTCTTTTCATATCTATCTATCTATCTATTTATCTCAGACTTATCTAAAGAATTTCATATCTATCTATCTAATTATCTCAGTCTTATCATATCTATCTATATATC